GAATGCAAATAATATCACAATTTACGGCTTGGAGCTAAGTGATAGATATACAATTTGGATCAATCAATTGCAAGCAAATAGATAAGCAGATCAATCGTGAATATTAATGAAAAAAATGAGCATTATGATATTTTGTATCAGGGGCCCTGACAAGACATGAAAATAGTAACTAAATGGAATGGGAAACTAACAGTTTTCAATTGTTCTATCTGCTCCTTAAGCGATGAGGATTCATGCTTCGCTTCATCAAGTTGTTGCTCAAAGTGTTCGTGATTGCTCGTCAACTTTAATTCTGCTTGTCTGCAACGGTGGGCAAGTAGAACCGCTCGAGTGCTTAAATGATTTTGAAAAATGTTAACCTAACAGTAGGCATAAAAGGCTATAAACATAAAAAAGTTGATATTTAAGAGGTATAAGGCCTGTCTTACTGACAACGGCAAGAGGTGACTTTGATTAGATGAATACTGATGGCCAAAAATAATTTAAGCCAAAAATATAGTCCGCATTGCTAATAAAACTACTCTTAAGCGTCAAGTAAAATGAATAGCTGAAATCAGGAAGTAATCTTAAGTGGAAGATATGAAAGTACTAGACTCGAATCACATAAAGCCCTTTCAGCCTGATCGATTCAGAAGATTTGCCATATCAACGGTTATTTCCATTTGGAAAACGGAGGATATACACAAAATTTTAATATCAAACATCAGTGGTGATTTATTTTGACGATTATGATAGTGCCAACTGAGGTTAAGATAACTCACGCAGGTGGAAGTCCGGATGAATCATCTAGAATAGAGGGATCTTCTTGCAACGTCTCCGAACGGCTCATTTGTTCTACTCGATGAGTTAATTGAGAGTTTAACTAAATAAGGTATCGGAAAAACTAATACATGAGAGGGAACCAAAGTATGCTCTAAATAAGCATTAATATATTTTTTAAATAAAAAAATAAATCGGAAAAAATATTTAAAATAAAAAGATATATATTTAAGAAGTAATTTACTCGTTCAGTATTGCGAAGCTTGTCTAATATATCAAAATATTTGTCAGAATACTTGTCGTATTTTTCCTGGAGAAGTCGAAAATGCTGCTTGGAATCTTCCAACTTTTGCTTCAGGTCCTAGAATAAAAGGCGAATAAATCGTCAAGATCTGAAAATATTGAAAACGTTAACCACAAAATGCAGATATAAACCAAAAACTACAATTCAAAATAGAAAATCATATGCAGAGAAGATAGGGAAGAGGAGACTATGTTCATGTCGAAATTGACCACAGAATATTATCCACTATTGCTTGGCATATTAAACATTCTTAAAATCGAAAATGTGGCTTAACCAGAAGCTTTCATTATATTTTCGCTTGTTATAGTAGCATTTACTTATAAAAATGAATAAATACTAATTGGCAACTTAAATACGCGTACAAAACAAGATGCATTTATAAATGGAAAAAAAGGTTTCTTTGTCCCTCTGACCAAGTTGCAAAAACGAGGCCAAGCCAACACTATGCAGTAAGGAGGACTGTGACAAATCCAGACGACACAACCTTAGCCTTCATATACGCGATCTAAAGAAAGGTTTATGAATTATAAGCTTGAAAGGGTTATAGATAAACTGTTTTGGCGCGAAAGAAAGCGATCGATTCAACATAAACATCTTATCTAACCCACATATTTGGAAAGGTGTAATAATCAGTATTCCTGTTATTAATCTATTTTTAAGTAAACTAAATAAGAAAAACAAAATAATAATAATAAGCCCCAAATTTACGACAACCTCTATTTCTTTTTTATAAACCTCTTCGAGGCGACGACTT